AGTCAGGTATGTAGTTTTCAAATTTGCACTGGTTATAGCATGATCTGAGTATGATTAGTATGTGAATAGGTTTGGATTTAGGATGTAGATGAATTCTAGATCAGAAATTGGATGTTTAGAGACAAATTAAGTGATGACATGATTTCTGTTTGGATGCGAGTTGATCTGATCTTGAGGCTTTAATTCAATTGGAATAGCATGTGATGATCAGTGTTAGATGAGGATTAATTTCGTACCATTAGTTTGAGTTTTGGTGAGAGTTCAGATTGAAGTGCATTTTAGGATCTGCTTCGTGTTTCAAATTCTAGTAAGATTTAGGGGATTTGATGGTGATATTTGAGATCAGGACGAAATTTGGAGTGAGATGATGTTAAGTTTGATGAGTTTTCATGACCTGCAAGTGTGTGCTCACTGGAGAAGATGACTGGAGGTCATCTCCGGCCACCGTGCTGGACTTCCCTCCATCTGAGAATTCAAACGAAGAAGACGAAGTCTCCACCCTTAGATCAGCTTGGAAATTTGACTTTGTCATCAGATCGTGTGGTTGTGTCTTAATCTGAGAATTTGAGTTTGTAGAATGAAACGCGGTCGTTTCATTTATGTGCTGGCACTACCAGGTCCCTCAGATGCCTTGACCAGTCTCCTCATCCAACGCTCCCCTTTTAATCTTGCATTTTATTTTATTTTTTAAATTTATTTTGTTTTATTTTAATTCCTTTTTCATTTCTAAATTCATATTAAATCCATTATTTGTCAGAAAAATAAAAAGAAAATATCCCCATGATCCTCTCTTGATTTGTGATTTTTCTATGATGTTAGATTTAATTTTTGATGATTTTTCAATTTAATTCCTATTTTTCTCATTTTAAGTATTTCTTTAATTTTGCATAATTGAGCTGTCTGTTTGTTGATTTTTGTTCTATCAATTGGTTTGGAATTTTGTTGTGCGTTTTTGATAGATGCTAGGTTAGAGTTGTATGCTCCCATATGAATTTTCTCACATTTTTTAAATAATCATAGCTTCTGATTTAGAGGTAGGTTTAGAGTCTTTCCCCACTAATGGTTTCCCTTGATACCTTTCAACTTAGGATTTTATTAGTGGCCTTAAGAATTGAATTAGGCTCTGATATTTGAACTATAGGTTCTTAACACTTGCATGTTCCCTTAGGAAAATTGGTAGATTTTTATATTCTAGTTTGCTATTTTAGATAGAATTTTCAAGTTGTTTGTTTATTTGGTGCTTCAACCTTGGTGATTGTTTTGGAATGGACTCAAAGTGGGATTTTCGTGCATGTTGGGCTTCTGGTTCCTCTTAGATGATGTCATGGGAATGATGAAGCTTCTGTGGAGTGGCTGGTGGAGCTTGCTTAGAGATTTTCTTTTCTTTTTGTTAGCTTTTTGTAGCTTATAAGATTAGGGTTTTTAGGAGAGAGCTTTAGAAGTAGTTTTTTTCCTTCAAATAAGCATGGTTGGTTTCACTTGCTCTCCATTCTCATCCTATGATTCAAAGTCCTCATGTGAAAGTCTCATCTCTCCTTTGGAGGGATGTGTGACATTTTACAATGAGTAGAACTTTTGAGGATGCCTTTCTCTGATGACTGGTTGAGTGTCAGGTGGGATTCCTTTGGTTTCCTTCTTGCTTCCCATCATCAAATACTCATCTTGTTGATTCTCTTCATTCTTGGTGGAGTGGTTTGGTAAAGTTTGAAGATGGAGCATCCCTTTCCTTCTCTTGAAGATGGTGTGAACTTGAAGAGCAGTTACAGACTTTGGATTGGATTGTTGTCAGAAGATTGCTCTGCTGTGGAGATTATTGGCTTGTTTTCCCTGTTTGTCTGTTTTCTTTTTGTTCTACTGTATTGATATGATTTGCTTGGAGTGTTGCATTAGATTTAGGCTTCATGTAGATGATCATAGACCTAAGAGAATCTTAAGGGTTGAGCTTCTCCCCTTGCTTGTATTGCATTAGAGGTTGAGTTTCTCCCTCTGCTTGTATTTTTACTGTGTGGCTTTGCTTGCTGGTATTTGGTAGAGCTCATCTCCCTTGCCTGTGTGGTGTGTGGCCTTTGTGCCTTGTTTGTTTAGAAGTTGAGCTTGGCTCCTTCTGCTTGTGTGATGCATGACATGCATTTATATTTACAGCATTTTGTTTACAGTAATTTCTTTACAGTTATCCATTTTGTTGTTTGCTTTCCTTTGCCATGTTCCCCTAGGAACTCTGACTTCTCTTGTTCAAGAGAAGTTATGACAGACATTAGGGTTCTAACCATGCATGATAACATTAGGTAGATTCCCTCCTAACCTCAACTGTATGTCCATTTTGCATTACAACTTTAGGATTGGATCAGTTCCCCTTTAGTGCGTCGTTTTCTCTTCTCATCTGCAAACAAAATCAAAATACAGTAATAAGGTTAATTGACGTCGTACATTACGAGCCTTAAGCTACTTGAGAAAGGATTGTTGGAGAGTTTCTTTTCAGTAATCTGGATGTTTAGTATGGTACCCTTTGGGTGACATGCGACGCATTCACTCTCAGGTCATAGTCTCTAGTGCGATATCAGTTGCAAACATCCATAAAAGACACTTCTCTAAAAAACAGAAAACAAAGATCAAACTCTTTTTGTCCCATTGGACCTTTAATCCCTTAGGAAACCTTTTTCAGAAGGAAAGTTCTGTTAACTCCCGGTTCTACCGCAAACGGTAAATGCCTAAGTCTCCAATGGTCGAGCTGCATACACCAAACTGCTGGAACCGTCTGTTAACCTTACTCGGATAAAAAGACAAACCTGCGTCTCTCGTGTTCCGAACTACGTTTGCTCTGATCTTTCGCGCCGTGTGAAATTACGTAGGCACAAGATGCCATATCTTGGCGGGCAACCTTTCCCCGTAGTTAGGCGAACTACGTTGACTCTGATTTCTCGTTTCAGACGGGAATACGCAGGCATAAAGTGTGACGCTTTGCCAAGTCATTTTGTTTTCTCTTCAGACCAGACCTTTAGTGTAGATAGATGTAACAAACCCGTCAGATAAACACAACAAGTGTGGATCCCATCGAGTACGATGGACGTGAGGGGTGCTAATACCTTCCCCTTACGTAACCGACTCCCGAATCCAGGACTTGGTTGCGATGACCATTCCTTTCCCTTTTCGTCAGGTTTTTTTCGATCGTTTCCTTTCTCACTCTTAGGGATAAATAACGAAAGGTGACGACTCTTCTGTCATTGTCGGCCTCGTTTTTTCGTAGTAGCGACACCTAGCACCTTGTACCAAATAGTCCTTAATTCAGCACAACCAAAAAATAGGTGATTGATTATCTCAATCTCAGGACATAAGCAACATTTATTTGTATAAGACATCCCAAACTTATGTAGTCTAGCTTTCATGGCAAGCTTGCCATTACATGCAAGCTACATGATCATTTGCAATCTAGGTCTCGCTTTGTTGTCGTAGAACAATGTTGCACCCTAATTTTTGACCTTAAGATCCCACCTCCTTGCTATTGAAACCACTATTAGTTCAAGAATTACATCTGGGGCATTTTGGTTATGAAAAGGGGCAAAATGGTAATTTGTGCATTGTTTACTGACGGTTTTTGAAGATGAGCTTTCGCCAGGGTTCTTCGGAACAATTTAAAACCTCCGTCTCCGATTTCCTTATTTTGAGAATAAACAGAAAATTACAGTAAACTTTGGGCATCAGAGTTTTCAGTATACGATAATTTATTTGGGAGCCGAGAGTTGGTTGTCAGTGGTTTTCAAGGCCGTTATTAAATCTTGTGAGGCTGATCATGGTGAGATATTAATTTGAGATGGTTTGAATCGGTGCAAGCAGTCACTCGTCTAAATACTTCATAAGCGTTTTGATTTATCGAGGTTTAAGCGGAGCGACACGTTTGGAAATAACAAAGCTCAAGTCAACTGAACTCATGCGGTGAAGGATAATTCCATTTGTTCAAGTTAAATCGTTTAAAGTCTAATAGGTTGAACTTATTTGGAGTTACTTGTTTAAATTGGATCTTTTAAGGTGGGTTTAATCAAGACTTTTGGTTTGTATTTAAATGGCAAGAAGAACCGAAGAGTGATTTGGATGAAGAAAAAATGTACTGCATTTATTTCATAATACTTTTTTTGGTTACAATTACAAAAAGGATTTACATATAGATTATATCCTAAAAAGATCCTAAACATATAAGGAGTCTTCATGTTCATCCTTCGATTACTTTCTTCATGTCCTTCATCCGAGCTTTCTCCGAGTACCTGCGCAAACAAAGCAAAAACAGAGTAGAAAAAGGTTAGGAAATTATTTTCGACAGCCTTAGATTAAAACTCATCACCGGGTGTCGGGAGGGCACGACTAAGGCCGTAACCGAACTCCCATTCCAATCCGCGACATTGGCGCCAGATCGATAATATTGTTCTTATTTGCGGGACAGCCGAGAAAGAGAGAGATAAAAGAAGTTTCGGGTCGAAATGATTTTTGCCGAAAAGTAGCCATACACCGAAGTTGGATTCGCAAAGCATAACTAATTACAATCCATATTTTCCATCAAGTAAATATTGGATATGCGAGTTTCAGAGCCAGATGCCGTTAGCTCTAAACCAACTCCTAAAAATCCAAACCGAACCTAAAATTTACAAAGCGGATCAAAACCAGACCGTATCAAAATTGGTTCATCAGCATCAGGAAAATCCACAAATCAGTTCTGAAACCAGGCATATCAGTTCTGAAAAATCCAACACTTGAAAGAGAATCAAGTTCAACATCTGCAAAAAAGAAATCAATTATAAAAAGGCTGATCATCTCAAGAATTCCGGATCCGCTTATGAGAGCACAAATCTGTACTTCCAGGAAGCCCTTAAGTTTCTTCATGGAGCCTCTCTATTAGAATCTGGTAACAATGATAATGCAAAACACAGTGAGATGATTCAATCAAAGCATACATACAGTAGCACAACAAATTGTGCGAGTTTTGTGCCCATGAATATGAGAAATCAAAAGACATGGCTTCAGCTGCTCTGGCCTACAAATGCACGGAGGTGACATATATTAGAGTAATATATTCTTCACATACTAGTGCAAGCAGAGATCGACATGAGTTGCAGACTGCCCTGCAAATGACTCCTCTTGGCGAATCTCCATCATCATCAGCCTCTGATGTTGACAATGTTAACAACTCTACAACAGCTGACAAAGTTGCCCTATCCAAGAGTGTCAATTCACCTAATTTTGCTGTAAACCACGTTATTGCTGCACGAAGTCGTCCCAATTTTGTGAGGACACTTGGTTATACTCAGGATGTGAATTTTACCATGGAAGCCTCAAGGAAATCACGGAATTCTTTTGCAGCTGCTGATGCAAGCAAAGGTGTGGGTTGAATGCCGATAGCCAGAACTAGCAATAGACGTTTAGCTTTCTGTGATGCCCGTGGAAAACCATAATCAGTTGGTGTTCTTCATGCATATGATAGTTCAGAGGTTATTACAAGCTTATATTGACAAAGATCAAAGCCAGTTGCATTACTGAGACCGTTCTTGTGGGAGATCCTGTTGAAGATTCAATCCTTATGCCTGATCCTGCAACGTCATCAAACTTCCCCCTGTGTGCGAAAGAGCATTTGACCGCTGGCGAAGGATGCGATAACGCGACCAGGATCTTGGTTCAGTTCAAAAAACCTGCTCAGACCAGCGCACCAGCAGTTAAATACAATCATATTTTCGGCAGTAATGTGAATGTGTAATCATATCAAGAAAACAATGCAAGGGTCATTACCATTTGGCATTCCATGATCCATGTTTCGAGAGCGATGCTTGAACCTCTAGCAACTTCCATCTCAGACTTCAGCGACCACTACTACAGCAGGGCAACAACATTCACTCCATTTTCGAAGCAGCTCCCTGGCACAAAGGATTCTACATAGTCATCACCTCAAGCAAATAATGATGTTTATGAAAAAAACAACCACTTAACTGTAGAAGGAGAACATGGTAGAGCGCAATGCACTACCTGCTAGATAACTGAGACATTTGTTAGCTCATGGTTCACAAGTGTAAGCATTGAGAGCACACCTGTCAAAGCAAACCTACAATAACATTGAGGAAAGAATCAAATTCAATCTCTGCTCGGTAATGAACACTCGAATGGAACCAGTACAAGGGAAAGTAAGGAAGGAAGGGTGACATTGACTTACCACTACAACTTGGCGTGATTTGTTTTACGACAACCTCACTTGGTTTCCCAAAATCACTCCAGGGCTGAGGACAGACTTACAAAGCTCACGACAGAGTGAAGATATTCACAGCAGCAGTTTGTCTCTACTCCAGGGAACCGAATGTTCATCAATCATCAATTTTACCACAACAACACGGAGGAACCCTGTCAAGACGTAACAGCAATGTTCAGAAAGAGTTAAGTGGCAAAGACTCAAACTAGACGCAAAGCTAAATATAAGTACAACGGATGTTTCCTCTCACCAGTTTGCAGAATTTGCTCTTGAGGAACATACAATCCAACGGTACCACCCTCTGTTGCTCATATGGACCGTAAGAGTTTGAATCAACATAGACAAAAGCATTTACTGAATCGTATACAAACTAGAGCAAACGAACCTTACATTGGATCAATGCTTGTAACTCTTCGTGAGAAAGTCGTAGAGAAACTTTCAGATTTGAACCATCCTGAAGTGAATGTATCGTTAGATGGTGGAAATCACTCTGGGCTGATAGATTCCCTTGGCCCAAGTACAATTGCTATTCGCCCCTGCCAAACAATAATTCAGAGTTAGTAATCTATTAAAGAATATACCCTGTTCAAAAAGTTGAGATCCTATTCAGATCCTATCAAATCCCTCAGCATCAAATAAATATTCCTCAAATCAAATCACCCATATTGAATTTTCATCAACACCATTAAACTCATTCGACACAAAAGGAAGGTTTTTGAATCCAATCAACCCAAAAATGGAAGGTTTCAATCAAAATTCAATCATGTTTTAAAGGTCCTAAACCCCAGCTCGCCTATATAAGAAGGGTTTCAAATCGAAGGAAAGGGGAGATTTTAGAGAACTCGTGAACACAGCGAAAAACACCATAAAAATCCTAAACAGTTCAAATCGAAGAAAGAGGAGAACTCATCTGTTGTTTCGCCGAAGCTTCCAAAGCTCAACGTCCCCGAAGCTAGCCGCCACCACCGGAATCGCGCTTCGTACCGATTCGTCGCCAGTAAAACTCCCTACTTCCTTTTCGTGCTGTTAAATGGTTAACGTTTTAATCTTTGGTTCAGGTACCACATAGCGAACGATCGGGAGAGAGAGTGAGATCAAGGGGAGGAACCGAGCGAATGAATGGCTCCGCTAGGGTTTTCCTTCTTTTTCTTTCCACCATCAGTGTTTGTGTTCATCGCGTTTCTGTTTGTTTCCACTGTGTTGTAACCTAATAAATTATATACCTGCACGACCACGGTAGTACCGTGATCCCTCGCCACTGTCACCACATGATCCACCTAACGCATGATCTAACGGATCATTCCGCGCACCCACCATAATCCCATACCCTGCGCCGCATCAGATCCCACGCTTTAATTATTTATTCAATTAATCTTATAAATCAACTAATAATCTGTTTTTTTAATTAATTAAAACCTTTTAATCTTTAATTAAGTTTCAAAATAATAACCCTCAGTCAACTTAATTTTCTTTTCAAATCTAATTAAATTTATTTTTTGTGCAATTTAATTAAAACCTTTTTATAATATAGTTTCTCAACTTTATTAATATTAATAGATTCATCTTAGTAAAATCCTTTTATTTCATAAAAAAATAATAAATAAGTCCTTCTATTACTTTTAGGGTCCTTTTTCTAAATAATTTAAGTTGTAATTTTGATAATAAAACCTTTATTAAAATAAACATAAGTAATATAACCTTTTTATATAAAACAATTTCACTAAAAATAAATAATAACATTTTCTATTAAATTAACTCAAATAAATTAAGATATCTTTTATTAAAATATATAAATAATATTGATAAACAAATATGACTTTTATTGAAATTACAATACAACCTTTTTCTTAATAAATAAGTCTCCACCTTTTTTAATCAAATTAACCCCTAACGTGTTAAGCCATTAATATTTTCTCATAAGCATAATTCAACTGTTCATGTCACTATTAATAATCAAATATAAGCCCTTTATCTACTAAAATCGATTCACCTAAGTTAACTCCAAACTAAAATTAATCACCCCTCGTAATCAACATACAATCGTGCACGCTTGCGTCTCGCTTTGATCTGTTCACACACTCACATTCACTATCACACACTTCAGCGCTTTCATGCGTCCGTGTATGCCTTATTTATCCGCTTTTACCTTATTCGCAATTTACATTTATCGTATTTATCTTACCGCATTGCATCCGTCCAAAGGAGAAACCTACACATGATTCAACAATCGTGTGTAGTGCATTTACATTTGCATCAGTCTCCTCACATGATCCTTGATCCCATTCAAGTTGATCTTTAAGATAGATCCTACCCCATAGGAAGGACCCTTATCTCTATAACTTAGACAAAACACAATCAACAAAACAATTCAAATCAAATATTCAAACACAATAGAGAAAGATGTTAATCATCTTAAGCGAGATAGAATCTCCACCCCACAACAATACAATCAACATGTAGGGACTTTGCCTTAAGAGAGATAAAGGCGTACTCGTCAAACAATCCGAGTACTTGAGCCCTTTTCTTAAGACGATGCAAAGACTATTTTCCTACAACCTGTGGCGGTTAAATCTCCCTTAAAATGAAGACACATCTCCTCTCATAAAATCAATCAATCAACTACCCTAAACCTGTGGGAACTTTGACCACAGTTAAAGAACTCCTCAAACCCTTTAGGGGAACTACAAATACTCTGATTCCACTCCCGTAAGGATATGTAGGCATAAGATGTGACATCTTATCGAGTATATTTAGAAATAAACCACTAGGTCTTTAAACTATTAAGCAGATAATATTTAGCAATAAACAAACATAAAACAAGAGGTTCCTGTAGAGTACTACAGAAACTTAGGATGCTAATACCTTCCCTAAGTTTAACCAACCCCCGAACCTATAACTCTCTAACCTTGCATTTGCATCGCATTGTGGGAATTTCGATCTTTATCCCTTCCTTTGGACAAATCAAAGTTCGGTTGCAAATTGAATTAAAGATTCAAACTAATTAATAGTTTGGTATCCAAATTTCACCGCGACAAACAATTTCCATCCAATTTAATTTAGGCTCCTCATCTCTCAAGGCCAAGTACATGGCTTTCATGGTGAAATTTCTCTTATGCAACATTTGATCCCAATACTGCAGATTCTCAATACTCTTCATCTATTGCAGTATGCCTTTCATTATTTAAGAGCAATTTGTTTTTTCCTTCACATCCATCAAGGTGTCATATTTAATGTAATATGTGTGGATCCATTTCACCCATAAGTTGTTATATTTTCCACAAAGGTTCCAAAGAAATTTCATCATAGTAGCCTTGTTCAAAGTCTCCAACTCAATGATTATCAACCCTCATTAGTTCTTAGGCCTGCACATATTCTTCCATGCAACAAGGCTCTTCCTACTTTTCTCAGCACTCCCAGTCCATATAAAAGACCTACAAATACTCTCAAGTTTATGGATCACATGCTTAGGGAAAGGAAAACATTGCATCCAGTAACTGCAAATGAAAAAGGTCACACTCTTGATTAATCAGATTCTCTCTGCATAACTCAGCAACTTAGTACTCCAATGTTTGATTCTTCCTACAATCGTTTCAATAATCTTCATGTAATGATGAATGGACGACTTTTTCTAGTCAAAGGCACCCCTAGATATATGCAAGGTAGGGGGCCTCCTTGAAAGAAGTCAATTTTTTTATGTTCTACTTTGTGCTATTATCCACTCCACCAAAGTAAATTTTACATTTACTTGGATTCATCTTGAGGTCGAGAGAGAGAGAGAGAGAGAGAGAGAGAGAGAGAGAGAGAGAGAGAGAGAGAGAGAGAGAGAGAGAGAGAGAGAGAGAGAGAGAGAGAGAGAGAGAGAGAGAGAGAGAGAGAGAGAGAGAGAGAGAGAGAGAGAGAGAGAGAGAGAGAGAGAGAGAGAGAGAGAGAGAGAGAGAGAGAGAGAGAGAGAGAGAGAGGGGAGGAGGGGATGGTGAATGCATTCATCATAAGCTCAATAGATCTATGGTCGCCTCTAGAAAACATCAACTGGTCATTTGAAAATGTGAGATTGGTGATTTGCAGCTTTTCACATTTGCCATGATGGTTGAAATCACAGTTCTCCTGCATCTTCTATAGAGATCTATTCAATTATTCCATAATGATGACAAAAAA